AAATGTAATGAACCACTCTAGTTTAAAGTTGTATTCTTTATTTGCGTGCCTTCATGTATCATTTGGGATAAGGCTGTGAGAGCTGGTATTTCAGAATATCTTGTAATGTGCTGGTACAAGGATTGACTCTGTTGTTGTTGCACAGTTTCAATCATTCACAACCTTCATGACGTCAGCACCACTAAAGATCAAGTCAGAATTTGTACTATCTGAAAGCTTGAAGTCCAGACTGTATAAAGGATTGATGTTTAGATACAGCACTTTGTGTGCTCTCCATTATTAAAATCAAATTTAGTGAAATTTATTTAGGGAAAGGACAATCAGGAGAAAACACCGCTTTGAAGTCCAGTAATTTTTGCAAAGAGAAATTATTGTAAAAGACTCCTGGGCTGGGGCAATTTGGAGACTATTAACTAACAAAACTTCCTGTAAGTGAAGAATGGTGAACAATTTAGGGTAGAGCAAATAAAGAAACAATCAGTGTGCCACCAAGCTGAGTCTATTTTATTTTTTTTAACACTTTTCCAGGTTTTGCCATCTGCAAAAAAGGCTGTAATTCAAAGCAAGCAGGACTCTGCAAAGAAAATCGCTCTTCCAGAACACTGCAAGCTGTGTTTTGGTGCACTTCACAAGGCAATTGGCGTATTTACTAATAGTCTGAGCAACAACCAGCCACCCGAAGTCTTCATATCCCACAGCAAGCTGATCATTATGGTAGGACAAAAGCTAGTGGATTCTCTCTGCCAGGAAACTCAAGAAAGAGACGCTCGGAATGATGTTCTCCACAGCAGCAGCCGGTTTTGCAGCCTCTTGAAGAATCTGGCTCTCGCCACCAAAAATGCTGCAATACAATATCCAAACACAGATGCTATGAGGGAACTTCAGGATCAAACTGAGGAGCTGTCCAAGTACACACAGCAGTTTAGAGCAATGATGGAATGAAAGGCACTTCGTTGTTTTTATAAATTCTCCATTGTTATGGTTCTTTCTTTGATCCTTGGGCATGTGGCAGCCACAAGGGGTCAAGTGCAGCTCAGTGATACCAACTTTCAGTCACCTCTAGAAACTCCTGCTGCGCAGTTCCCTGGGTGCTGGTGCACTTTTAGCAGGTGAAGATCCACAGAACAGCAGATGCAAAAGAGGAGTCGTAGAATTAAATCTGTACATATTTCTCCATTGTTCAGATCCTGTCTGGAAATGTCATCATCTTAGTGGCTGGGAAAGAATGTTTGCTGTGTATTAGAGCAAAATTATTTTATTATCTGGCTGACTTCTTATTTTTCTAATTTCTACATAGGTCAGATAAATATATTTTCCTTTTTCTTTTTTTTTTTTTTCTATTTGGATATGTAAAGTCTCTCTTTAAATTTTGCTGCACAATGTTCTGTAAGATATGATATCCCATTATCAATTGTTTCTTGAGGACTTAAAATTTGTAATTACAGTTATTTTATTTTATAACAGCTGCAAAGCTAACTTTTGTTCTTCATGTACTAACGTCATGAACATATTACAGGACAAAATCTGGCAGGTACTACACATAGCCTAGATGGTGATGGGAAATGCTCCAGCTGGTATCTGAGCATAGAGGAAAACTGACTTGGAGGAGTCGTGGTTCCCGATAAAATCTGTGGGGATTGCACCTCAGCTGTCCTCCGTCGCAGCCTGAAGCTGTTCAGAGCAGTGCTCCAGCTGAAAACAGAAGTGATTTTAGTCGCTAAATCTGCCGAGGCTTTGGACAAGCTCTTCCTCCAAATGGAATGGGGACGTTGTTTCTCGGAGGGTGCCCAAAACACCCGCACTGGCCGGGCTGCCTGGGGCTTCTCAGACCTGCCCTTCCAGCATGGCTCTGTGTAGCTCGTTCACTTTATCCCTAAATTTGCTGGATGTGAAAGGCAACAAGGCCCTGTAACCACCCAGGTAGCCTGTTTGTACACCCATGTTATTTGTATTTTTCCTAATTAATTTATTTAAAAGTTTTTATCCGACATTTCAAAGTCTGGCCTTTCTGGGCAACGTGGTACCTGTGTCTTTGCCCTGAAAACGCACCATTAGTTGTGCGAGTGCTTGCAGCGGACTGGCAGTGCACGGCTGCGGAAAAACCAGCTCCCTCATCTTCCTCTGCTCTCACTCCCTCATCTTCCTCTGCTCTGTTTCTGTTTGGCCGCCGCCGTGTTTTATACCGTCATTTAAGCGTCGACATTTGTAAGCGTTACAGATGGCGCAGTTCAGTGCGGTAACTGCGCTTCCCGTTGGCTTCGCACGTTTTGTATCAAAGT